CCTGACAGGTGTGTCAAATTCTAAGAGTGTAGGAACATTCTTTCTTTTACCTGACAGGTGTGTCAAATTCTAAGAGTGTAGGAACATTCTTTCTTTAACCTGACAGGTGTGTCAAATTCTAAGAGTGTAGGAACATTCTTTCTTTTTCCTGACAGGTGTGTTCCGGATCACCAGCGGTCATTTGGTCTGGGCATCCAGTGGATTGTGGCTCGCTGTTTGGGTACGTCTGCTTGTGGTACAACATGTTTTTGTTTGTTTTTTTATAGTAGAGGGTTTTACGGCGCTCACAACTGCATAAGATCAAATGAGCGCCAAGGGGTGGGAACAACATGTACTGGTGATGACTTTCCTGTAGGCTCAGGCTTGGGCAAACTATTCCGCATCTCTAGCGTCGGTGGCCTAGTGGTTAGGCTCTCGGACTTGCAACCGTAAGGTTGTGGGTTCGAATCCTGTCAGGGGCCCGACGTTGTGTCCTTGGGAAAGGCACTTTACACGAGTTTTCCTCACTTGACCCATGTGGGAATGGGTACCCAGCTATAGACAGTGAAAGATCTTGTCAGTTTCTTAGTGTTTGAGTGCTTAATCAGCTGCTTGCACTGTACACTGTATGCTTCCCGGGAAGCTGAGAATGTTTCGGAGTGTTCTGTGGTCTGCTGGGGTAATAATATAGTGTAAAGCGCATAGAGCCTGCTGTTGAGCGGGGGTATGCGCTATACAAATGCTATTTATATATATATAGCAATTTCTTTTCCAACACCACATAAATATTGACGTTCTGAACCGGACAAAAGAGTTACTCTAACGCACTCCTTGTAAGAAATACAGTGGAGCCTGCTCTGAAGGCCATGCCAGCTCTGTGCAAGTCAGTCACCTGTACAAACCTGTCCCTGTCGTTTTATGCAAGAAAAATTAAGAAATTATGTAAAACTGAGCCCAAAAACGTGAAATTATGCAATTCTGTTAATTTTTACAAAGAATGATAAAGGAAAATAATCAGAAATTATGAAAAAAAAGATCAAATTTGGCTAAATTATGCGGGGTGCAGAAAACTACGGGGACAGACCAACGACCATCTCCCTCTTCCCCCTTTGCGTTATTTCTATATTCAAATTACTATCCGAAACACCCACCTGTTTAAGACAACCACTTTTCCCCTCGACGATGGATGGCCATCATAGACAATTTCAACCATAGTTTTCTAGTCTTAACAAGCTTCCCTTTGGGCCACCCCTCCCCCCGCCAAAAA